ATATATATATACTTGTAGTGATCCTCTTGTGCTTAATCTCCCAAACTTTGGGATTACAGGTGCGTGCCATCATACCCAATCTCAATCACCATCTCAGTGAACCCCGGCCACTGTGCTCTGCCTAAGCAGGTGCTTTAGTCTGTTGAGATATCTGGAGGGCCCTTAAGGTACTATTCTTAATGAAGCTACCACTCTCTCTTCATCATATACATGAATTTATGGATAATGCAATAAATTACAAAATAAAAATAAGCATCAAATCTGAAAAGAAGATATATCATCATATCTGCATGATATGAATTTCTGACAGCCAGCTGGTTTTGACCTTTAAAAAACGGTTATGACCTGTAAAAAAAATTAAACTAGTTAATATGTGATGAGAAAAAATGTAAAGTTAATAGTTTTCTGTACTGGGGAATTGAACCCAGGCCTTTGCATAGGGCTATTTCTCCAGCCCTTTTTTCTTTTTTTTAAGAAACAAATAGCAATAAGACAGTTTCAAAACCGATTAATAGGACAGTTTCAATAACTAATACATCGTACATTGTTATCTTCTTAGTAGTTATCCACAGTACAAGAAGCAGGCAGGATATCCTGTCCAAACACTATTAGTACAAATCTTTCTTCTCATTGAATTAAGCGAAAGTAGCTGTATGTCTATCTTAACTATTCTGCATATACAGATACAAAATGGTCCTTCCTTTGTACCCCCTTTTTTGTTTAGTCCTTTCAGAAATGGGTATTCCGTTGTCTCCAGCCCTTTTGTTAGTTTTTATATTTTTAGTTTAGATAGGGCCTCACTAACTCACCAGGTTACTCAGGCTGGACTTCCACTTGTTGGCCTCCTGCCTTAGCCTTTAGAGCGCTGAGATGGCAGGTGTGTGCTGCCATGCCTGGAAAAACTAGTGACTTTCTTATAGATGGGTAATTAATTAAATATAATAGACGATAAGTGCAGCAAAGTGCCATAAAGTTGCTATAGAGATGGCAATCACAACACACACACGCACATGCACACACACATACACACACACACTTTTTTGAGACTTTACTGTTTTCTTGATTGATTTATGACTTCCTTCCTGTCCAGAGCTCCAGTGCTAGTAGTTAGGAATAACATGCAAACCTGTAATCATGATGCTGTATGTTGCATGCTGGCACAGAGGTAACATGGGGATGCTGCAGCTGAGTTTTAAAGGAAAAATTTGAGTTTCACTAACTTTAACAGGGAAAGGTTATTCAGGCAGAGGGAGTCATTAAGCCATGAGTGGGAATTTCATTGGTTCGTTCGGGCCAGGTGTTCGGGTAGAGGAGAGGGGCGGGAAATGTTAAAGCCCGTGAGTTTAGTTCACGAAGGGCTCTGTGGGTTATGTGAAAGGCAATGAGGGCATTCTGCCTTTGATCCCTCATACTCTGCATCCTGTTGTGTGGGCATTTTGGGGCCGGCAGTCACTTGGATGGCATTGGTTCAGGTTTTCTGAAGCTATTTGATGTGAGGCTGGTTGTAGAGTTTCTTTTGCTCTTTAAGTCTGCCTGTTTATCCAGGGTAATTCAAGCACGCTTGATTGTGTAATATGCCATGCAGGGGTTTCTATCACATCAACCCCCTCTAAGGGACTCACTGACTCTTGATAAGAGTATGACAGTGAAGCTGTGACCTTAGAGCAGGATCTCAAAATGGCCTTACTATCAAGGAGGTAACTTACTGTAGTGGACCTGGGATTACTGGAAACATACCAGAAACTTAGAACAGGATGCTATATAGACTTGGTGCAGCATAGGAGTGAGAGGAAATGGCTTAACGGGCATGTGTTCCTGGGTTTGCCTGACAGGCCTAGAGATATGTGTGCAATGAAGGCCTTTAATTAGAGAAATACTATTCACATCTGACACTGGGTTCTGCCAATACTAATGAGGTTGAGAAACAGGGCCAGTTCCTTGCTTCTGTCCCTGGGACCAGTGAGATGCAAGCTGTGTGGGAAGGTCATGAATTCCTGTGTGTAGTTCTGTCGTGGTCAGGTATACCTGGAGGCCTCTGACTTTTAAGATTTTATAAGTTAAGTCTCTCAAGAGAGATCATCTGTCTTGTCTGTCGTCACCTGAGTACTTGATGGTAATGTACTACTAGCAGCTAACATTTATAGAGCACTTGAAATTATGCAGGGCCCATGCTAAGTGCTTTTCTGGAATCCTCATGTCTCCTGAAATACAGATGGCTCATTATCCCTGTGTTATGTCCTCCCACTCTCCCTGTCCTCCCCAATGAGTGGATTAAGGCTGAGAGGAAGAGTTGTGCTCATAGTCCCATAGGGGATGGTTTGTGAAGTGGGTCTCAAGCTCACACCTGGCAGATTCCCCAGTGCACCCTCTAGATGAGAATGCCAAACCGTGTCAGGAAGGAGTGCACTCTGTGAGTGGGATCTGGAGTTTGGATGCTTATGCAGGTTGTCATTTTCTATCCCACAGGTAGTGACCAGAATGCAGATGGTTTTACAGTTTTTTCAGCTTTTATTTTTTATTAGTACTTGTTTTCAGTACATGATAATATTCCTTGTGGGGAGTTGGTACATGGATGTAGCACATCTAGATTCTTTTTTCCCCTTCCCCTTTCCTCCGTTTTTCATCTCCTGATTCCCTTTCTATTTGAAAAAGATCTATTTCACTACTTCCTACTATCTTTTATTCTTTATAATTTGGGTTTTTCACATAAGAGAAATAATGTGATATTTATGCTTGTGTGTCTGATTTAGTTCATTTAACATTATGGTCTCAAGGTCCATTCATTTTCCTACAAATGACTGTATCCTTCTTTATAGTACTCTACATGATAGCATAGCACTCTATACCATAGGATAGCATTCTATACCATAGACTAGTACCCTATACCATAGACTAGCACTCTATACCATAGACTAGCACCCTATACCGTACACTAGCACTCTATACTATAGGATAACACTCTATATTGTAGGATAGCAGTCTATACCATAGAGTAGCAGTCTATACCATAGAGTAGCACCCTATACCATAGAATAGCACTCTATACCATAGAATAGTACTCTATACCATAGAATAGTACTCTATACTGTAGGATAGCACTCTCTACCATAGAATAGCACTCCATGGTGTACAAATACCACATTTGCTTTATCCTTTCATCTGTTGGTG